GGGGGGCGGGAGGTGGCTGGCGGGCGGGGCCGGGAAGCGGGACCTGACAAAGCGGCGACCTTAGGTCAGCCTCGTGCTGTGAGCCGTCGGGTGTCAGGCTGGGCATCGGGCACCTCTGAGGTTCCCCCTTGCTGCACCTCCCCCCCATCCCGGGATCCCATCCTTGGCCAGCCCGTCCCACAGGGCAGCATGGAAAGGGCGGCCCGGCCCGAAGTGTCATGTGGTGGGTGGCCTGGCCCGGGGGTGGCAGTGTCATGGTGGGAGGCTGCGTAGGGCTGGATGACCTGGGGTCGATGTTGTGTTTCAAAGTGGGTGGTGGCATAGGGAGGGCTGAGGCGGGGGAGGGGGCGAGATATATTTCTGCCTCAGGGCAATCTGCTGAGGGCTTGGCATGGGAGGGGGGGTGAGTGTTGGGGTGGCTTTTGGGTGACCAGATGTCCAGTTTTATTGGGATAGCTGTGGTATCTGGGGCTCTGTTTTATAAAGGTGCCTATTACTCCCTGCCTTCTGTCCTGATTTTTCACGCTTGCTGGGTACGCCTAAAGTCATCAGGCAATTTCATGGAATCTGTTAAGCATACTTGGTCTGTTAAGAATACTTGAGGCGGGTGCCAGGCCAGGGGGCAGGTGAGACTGCCACAAAACAGCCTCAGTCTGCAGTGAGGCCTAGGCTGCTTTGCAGCAGCAGCCCTTGTCCGCAGGGGGTCTGAGCACCCCATCGACAGAGTCTGCTCTGCATCCCGTGTAGCATTCTCCATCTCTGGGGCGTTTAGACCCCCAATGAAAAGGGGCTGCTGTCACCCCACATTGCTACCTCTGTATCAAATACAGCAGCCCGGGATGGCAAACAGCCAGTCTGTGTGGGGAACTGGTTTTTAAACTGGCTCCCCTCATGGACCAGCTCCTTCTGCACCCTGCACTGTTGCCTTTGATACAAATGTAGCAGCATGGGATGGAAGGGGGCTCCCTGGGTGTGGGGCCGGGAGCACACTGGTTGCTGGCCCAACCCCCAGGGACTATTGAATAGTCATGTAACAACTAAAATTTCATGCAGTTAAATGACTATTCAATCACCCGATACCTAACATACCCAACCGAGTCACCTGCATAGGATCTTCCTGGTAAAACTGAGGTACCACTGAATTTAGCAGACTGGTTTCACTCTATCCCCTTAACACTGTGGTTCCTCTGATTCTTGCGGTTTGATGCCCATGTCTTCTGGTATTTTTATGGCTTTGTTTAGTTGCTTGCTGCTTGAGCTGCTCCAAATTCTAGTCTAAGGCTGTGTCTACACTAGAGAGCTAACACCAGGGCATCCGTACCAAAATAGCTATGCCACTGTAGCTGTTTCATGTAGCTGTTCTCTGTGAACAAGATAAGTCAGTCGTATGAAAGGGACTTCGTTTTCATCATTAAACATGGAGAGGTTATTCTCTGTGTTTTAAATCCTCACCCACC